AATACTCCCACTATTTTAAAACAATTTAATGATTAAAATAAAATTCTTATTCAATAAAAAAACAATATTGTTTTTTTACATATCTTAAGTTTTTATATACCTGAATTTAGTTTCCCGTTCAACCTACATTTGCAAGTACTATAAACAAATCACAAGACCAAATGCTTAAAAAAAAATGTTGGAATTTGGCTTATAAGAATTTCTTTTGCTGTTAAAAAGGAAAATGAATTTTAAAAAAATTTTTATTTACCATGAAGCCCTATAAAATAAAATTAAAGAAATTATTAAACTTTGTAGTAGGGTTTTTGTTAATTTATTTTTCCAGACAAATAAGCTTATTCAATTTTCATTAATTGGTTTGCAAAATTGAATGAAATATAGAGTTTGTAAATCTTGACAAAAAATGTTAGCGATAACTTCAAAAATACTAAATACTGTGAGTATTTCAACACACTGACATGTGTTGCAAAAACATTCTAGTTGTCTATAAAATGCCCCCATGGCATGCATCTCAAATAGGCTCTGACAAGTAAGTCCAGCTCCAAGTGGGTGAAGGCTGACCACTGGCACATAACCAGCTGATTCAGTTAGATGGATCTCCTTGACCTGGGTAGACAGGCCATCTAGGAGAAGAAAATCCCAATTTTGAAATCTACACTGCCTTGCAGTCGTGTCCAATCATGGAAAGGCTATGGAAATAAATCTAGACAAAAAATCTATAGTGGATTCCCAAAAGCAGATGGCAGACAACCTACTGGCAATTTCAACCACCTAGCTGACCCCAAATATAATGCCTTGTACACCTTTGAATCTTGATGCTCTGGCCAAGAAGTGAGGCACATGTAGTCTGGGCTGTGCCCAGCCTCCATATCCCATTGTCCAGGCCTGTGCCCTGGAGTGGATACTCCATTCTCCCCACCAATGAATTGACTTTTGACTAAACAAGATGTTACCTTTTTATCTTGTGAGATAAACAAATGCCTACTTATGGTCTGACACTGTTTTTAGTTTTGACCAAATTCTAAGAGATATATTTTAGAATTTCTACTATTGACAGACTAGTTTACATTAGTCACATGTTACTGTCAACCTGTCCCTTTAGTGAGATGTCTCCAAGATTTACATTAATATTAACTATGGCTTCTAAAAGATGCAGTCTACAGTATAAGTGTAAAGCATAAATTCTAGTTTTGGTTAATACAAGTGTAAGTTGATTCATTGAAAACTTATAAAATTTTGAACTTTTTAACTTATCTGTAATATTTAGTAATAAATTGAAATTAATGGTTTTCATAAAAAATTTTGAATTTGACTGGGAACTGAAATCAGACAATGTATTATCACTGCTGTTCTTAATGCACTCTGATAAATTTCTTAAATTTCTTATTTGGTATTTATTCCAGATTCCTTTTGAAAAATCTCTCCTTGCTACTAGATTGCAATATTTGTAACTGCTCTCTCTCTCTCTCTCTCTCTCTATCTTCTGTTTATTTTTAGTTCTTGTCCCAATTTCTTTTTTTTTTTTTTTTTTTTTTTATTTCACCTCTCTTCCAGAAAATTATTTTTGTCAGGTTCTCATCTGCCTCTGTTGTTGTAAATCACTTCAGCATCAGTATACATCAGTCTGTTGGGATTGAGGGCCAACTGGTCAATTCAGTCTATTAAGGTGATTTCTCCACATATGTGATAGTTATCTCAAACCTTAGTCTTGGGCTTGTCAGCAAACTAAACACAAGTGTTAGCAGCAGCAAATTTTAGTGTAGAATAAAAAATTTCAACAGACTGAACTATTTTTTTTTCTCAACTTCTTGACACATTTTCTTATATTTCTTGTATCATACATTATTTCCTTTCTGGGACAGGGTCTCCTTTCATTATTTTATGTTCTCTATGAATAGTGGGGAAAATCCTCATCAAAGACAGATAAAGGGAAGATATATACACCTGTAGATATGAGTTTGAACTTCTGTGCACTTTTGCAGATTGGGATGCATGCTTGTAAGATTAACTGTTATAATTCTGTTTTTATTTTGTTTTGTCAAACTTTCTTTATTTCAAACAAAATATATTTGCAAATTTTATGCATCAAATGTACATTGTCCATCTTTAAGAATATTTTGTATTTAGTACATTTGTGTTTTGGTGTTCAATTCATTGACTTTATAGATGGAGAGGTTGAAAAGTTGTTGCTTCATCCCACTTCATGAGATCTAAGCAAATGACATAAGATCAACCTTTTTGAGATTTTTGGTCATGCTGAGAACAATTCAGCATCCCTCAAATTTAGTATTCTATTTTTACTGATATAATAATTACAAATAAAATAATATTGAAAATGATTGATTTTAAAAATAGGAAGACTTTAATTTGTTATTAATGATCATTGAGTGGGAAATCATTTTATAGGATTTGATTTTAATCTGCATGTGATAATCCTGATGAAACGGAGATCAAATAGCTGAAACAGCAAGTACTGTCCACCCACTCAGTTCATGATTCCGATAGGACATCATTGATAAGGAAGGTGTGTGTGAGAGATATATTTTTAAAGAAAAACAAAAAGCATTGGTGGAACCAATGGACAGCTTGCATGAACTGCAAGTCTTATCCAGATACAGTCTCGAAGAAAGACAAGAAGATGGGGGGGAGGCCTGAGTTTGCTTACCTACTCAGTAAAGTGTTCAAAGCCTAGATTGCCTAGACTGAGCAAAAAACAATTACCAATGTTAAATCATATGATAGGATGGCTCTAGTTGTAACTAGTATTTCATGCGCATGTGAGATATATATACATACGTACATGAAATTTTTAATTATTTTCCTTTTCATTGAACTTTTTCCTTTGCATATATTGTTTGCTTACATGCTTGCTTGGTATTATTTTATGATTGTTTGGGTTGATGATATACTCATTGGTGTAAGTTGCAATTCTGCGTTAATGAAACACATATGACTGATCTTGGAAAACTTTCTTTCTGGGTACATGACTTATGTTTAAAATAACTATACAGGTGAATCACACAAAATATATTGAAAAGATTCTAACCAAATTTGGAATGCAAGATTGTAAACCTTGATTAATGCCTTGTGAAATGGATATCAATCTACTGAATGAAAGCAATGCTAAACCAGCAGAAGGAAAATATTACCGAAAGATAGTTGGCAACCTGATATGTTATGACTGCCACTTGTCCAGATACAAGTTACATGGTAACAAAATTGTTGCCATATTCCATGAATCCAACCATGGAACACTTGACAAGAGCAAAACATATCTTATGCTGTTTGAAAGGCACAAAAAACACTGTTTAGTGTTTTATATATCGATTAAGCCCCTAATTTAAAGAGGTTTTTGTGATGCTGATTGGGGAATCTCAAAAGACCGCCATAGTATTACAGGATACGCTTTCTAATTATCATCAAACAATTCAATGATTTTGTGGAAAACCAGCAAGCAATCTACATGGTATTGATGGCAGCAATGCAAGAAGCAAAATGCCTTCTTCAATTATTAGTCATCATGATTAATGCAATTGAAAATAAGCAAGCCACTATCTATTGCAATAATCAAGGTACAATTGCTCTTGCTAAGAATCCGGTCTACCACAAATGTTCAAAACCTGTAGACATAAAGTACCACTTCATAAGGACTGAAATTCAAAATGGTACTATAAAATGGAATTGTGTTCCATTGGATGAAAACATTGCCAATTTGTTTACTAAGCTTATCAGCAGAACAAACTGAAATAAATTCTTTACTGCTCTTTTTTTTTTTTTTTTACCCCACCTTTTGGATAAAAAAATATGAAAGAAAAAATATTTAAAAAAAAAGATATAAAATATTAAAAAAACAAAAGTTTGAATTTCAATCTGTAATCGGAATGATTGCAAAGCACTTGCCCATCCCTTTTATAGGCAAAAGTACCCAAATGAATGCTGGGATTTTTTTGTAGCCAATAAAATAGGCTGGTTTACAGTTTGACATGACTTGGTCCAAATCTGTATTAAAAGTCAGAACACTATGTTGACTTGTCCGAACTTGCTTTGGTTCATCAATGCAAATTCTTAGTTTGTGGACTTTTTGTCTCATGACTGTTAATTTGACTTGCATATATTATTTGCTTGCTTGCTTACTTGCTTGATATTATTTTATTTTGCCTTGTTCTTTTCCTTAATTCTGTTTGTCATTTTGTATTTTACCATGGCTACTCACTCCACACCCCATTGTCCAGATTCCAGAGTGTCAGTTTGTCTTTTTTTATGGCCACTACTTATCCTCAGAGAGTATAAGTCATTTTTCTTCACATACAGTTTTATCTTTCTTTCATTCTAACCTGAGGAAACCAAAGAGTGCAGATGCTCTCGGTGAAATGCATTGTTAATAAATTCTCCACTTTGTCTCCTCTTCACTTTACTTTTGGATACTATTATACATCCCACACATTATTTCAACAGTAGGCTATGTAGGTTTTGTAAAATGTCTAAGTATGTGTGCAACAGTGGAAGCATTAATAGACAATGCACTTGGATATTTTTATTTTCATACCAGAATGGCCAAGTTGTATTTTTACAATGTTGTGAGGTGTCCTGGCCCCTGCGCTACATGACAAAGCTGTCCCATCCTCAATCACTGGTGCACCTGTGATTGAATCCTGTGGCTAACCATGAAGTTGATCACTTCAATCCAAGCCCCTCCCTGTCCCATGTTGTGCTTGTTTTGATCATGAGGCAAGCAATGATCGAATCATCACATATTGCTGGATTGGTGTTGTTCAAGTGGGATGATGTTATAAGACAAAAAAAAAAAGCAGTGTAAATCAACAAAGTTTATATAACTGAGCTTTATACAGGAATACTTTTTTGTATAAGCATCTACAAGCATGCAGGCTAATGGCTATTCTCTTGTAGTTTAATTTTGTGACACTTTGTTCTTCATTTCGAAGTTGGAGTTGAGATCTCAAACTTTAACTCAGATATTTCTTCAGGCAGCAAATTACGGAATGCTGACAAAGCACTTGTTTCTCTCTCTCTCTTGTTACATAGACTTTCAATTCTTACACTTGTCAATTTTGTCAGGGCACACTACTACTCAATTTATCTAATAGTCTGGAACAAGGCATGAGTAAGGAGTTCTTCATGGCAGCAAATCACAATCGCATAATTGAAGCGTGTCTCTGCCTAAACTGTGGCTATTTCTATCTTCTTTTCTTGCTTTCTGCATAGCTATTTATGGAGTCCAATCTCCAAAAACTGTGTTGGGGTTGACTTGTTCTGGGATACCTTGGAATCTTCTGTCGCCCAATCAGATCACTCTATGGGTGCTGCTGGGTGGCCCTTTTTATGTCCAAATATGGGGAGCTCTCCCCACGAGAGGGGGGGGTGTCAGTAGCAACATGTTGATCCGTCACCCATCTTGTTTTCCCTGCACCTTGCAACAGTACCTTTCAGTGGGAGTATTCATTTTTCTCCCATTTCCTCATAGCTCCTCACACAGCCACTATCCAAGGAATAGGTGTTCCACCATGAATAACCTGACATAAAACGGATGATATTTTTAACGTCAATGTAAAATTATCTGCATTTCTTTATTCCTAATTATCATGTTTGGTCTGTAACTCTTCCTATTTTCCCACTTGACCAAAATTTTCTGGCCTGAGAAAATCTTGTTCCTTTAGTGACATGTGTATCCTCCACCCCTATCAACAAGTGACATAGAATCATTTCTTTGCCCCTTTTCCTCACCCACCTGTAGCCATAAAATTATTATCTGTAACTAACTTGGTGGTCCCTCTCAAAAATCTCACTCCCTTTACATCATCCCCTGGGCTTCACTTTAATCAGATGCCCAAGTGGATGTTGTAGAATATTGGTTAGCTTGCAAGTGGTCTGACACACAAGTAGACTGGTGTAGTGACCAAGTCCTTATTCACAAAATGAGAAAACAAGGTAAGAGTATATTTTCTCTTGTTTTCAGTATGTCCTTCAATCTGTCTACTACTGTCTTTGTGTTCACTTTTGATTTAATTTAAGCTTCTTTTTTTTTCTTTCTTTCTTCAAATTATCAGAATCTTTAAAGTGTCACATTTTTCCTTTTAAATAAGATTTAATTGCTTCAATCCTTGTCCAGAATATGCTTAGGTGTTTGAAGGCCACAGACATTTCCATCATATCTGACTACATTTGTGCAGTGATTTATGCAGACCCCAATCTTGACAGTATAGAATCTTGAAGAATATTGGTTATTGCAAATGCAATAGCATTGATTAAAGCTGCAATGAATTAACATCAGAAACTGCAAATACCTGTTGGAAGAGCATATAAAATAATGTAGTTAATAATTTTAAAGGCTTCTCTGAAATCAATGGAGAAGTTAATAAAATCACTGACACTGTAGTAGACGTTGATTGGGAAGGAGTTGTCAATAGACTTGTTAAAGAAGCGGAAGCATAAATGGAAGGCTGTGGAAGGGGTGGGAATGTTAATAAATGAGAAATTCTTAAGTCATCTATTGACAAAGATGGAGAAATTGAAACAACCAGGAATATGGACATTACAAAAATTTGCTGGAGCTTTTATAAAGATCCAGGAAGCAAATGTAAAAAAAAAAAAAAAATGCTCCTCATATGAGAACAAAAAGTATTATAACTTTTACAGGGACATTCAGGAGTGTTGGAATGAAAGAAAGAACTTGTAATCATATTCTTTTTCTGGTGTTGGTGCTGGAAGATAGATTTCAACTATTAAAGGTACTGAAACATACTTTAAAAAAAAAAAAAAAAAGTTGGCTCTTTACTTAACTGTCATCGAATATGGGGTCATGATTGATTTATTGTTGATTAAATTAAACATTGACTTTAGAATTGTACAATTCTGTTAGAATTAATATTTGTTCTTTTCATTCCGACAAGCATTTTAGGACTTGTTTTCTTTCCCACAAAAACAAGAAAATTTTTAAAATAGTGTGTCCATCTTTGGACATTGCTGGTATATATGGATCACCATTAGTAGAAGATTTGATAGATTCTTGGAACCTACCAAACAATGTGTGTGTCTGCATATCTAATATATACTAGACCACCAATAAAACTTGGATTCCTTTTAAAAAGTGGTTTATGATACAAAATGATTAGGTAACAATATTATCAATTTTATTGTTAATTATATATATTTTAATTTGTATATGCTATGTAAGTTATGCTAATAATAATTATTATTATTAGCATTTACAGTATTACTTAAATGCAATAGTAAATTAATGAATGGAAAGTTTTTAGAAATTGTGAAAAAAAAATGCACACCCTGATACACAACAACAGAAAAAAACTATCAATTTCAAATTGAAAGTAATAATGATATCATTGAAATAACTTTAACTAATTTGTGAAAAGGTAGGGGACATTCCCCTTAAATGTAGTTAATTACTATGTACTGATTATGTATTGCTTTATTCATCCAACCTAAAATTGTTAAGGTCCTTGACCACGCAAGAAATAAAAAGAAAATCATATGCAGGTATCAAATGTGTATGGAACCTGAATCTGATATTATTAATAGACACTGATAAAGAGTCTATGACACTTATCATATAAGAGTCAAAGGTTTACACATATGTATGTTTAACCTTTTATACTTCATTATAAATTGCATTTTTATGAATTCCTAACAAATTACAAGTTTAATGACCATGTCTTTTGTTGACGGTTCATTTTTTTATGAAAACATTAACATTTTCCTTCCTCCTTATCTTGACTTGGAATATAATATGCAAGTTTTTGTTTATGTATGAGGATTGATATAAGAATGTTCATCGAAAATAAATACTGAATTTGCTATTAAATATGCCAGAATATAAAACAACCTGAGCTCAAGAACTCCTTGTCTAATTTGAATGAAATTTGGCACCACACACACACACACACACACACAGTTATATTTGATTTAATTTTTTTTAGATCTTTACATATCTTTATAGATCTTTCTCTCTCTCTCTCTCTCTCTCTCTCAATGATGAAAATTCTGACAGTAACTCAGTAGTTAGAACAAAATATCTGTAGGTTCAACTGTTGATTAAAAAACAGTAAAACAGTGATACTATTTTTCAATAGTTGCAGATAACTTCTAAAATGTTTTAACATACATACACCAGTTTATAAAACAGGCCATAAAGAAATTTCTTTATTTCATTGAATTTAAGAAATGAAAATTGTTTATAAACATGAAATTAAATCTGTAGGTTAAGAATGTTTATTAATGTTAAAGTGTAAAAGCAGAGAGATTGAAATCAACAATAATGTTGAGATTTTATGAGATTTACAATTTTTTTTTTATTTACTGCCTGTGAAAAAATTTATCTGAAAAGTGTAAGAAAAAAAAAATCAAACATATGTGTATATAAATTCTCTAAAATGTTAGACTTGGATCAAATATTTTTATTAAATTTTAGATTTATGTGCTTCTCTCTAAATATTGGGTTAAATTTAACATCAATGTTTAATTTTTTTCTGCTTACGGTCATATCATGTTGAAACTTTGGTTCCCATATGATCACCAAATTAAGCAACACTGAATCTGGTCAGTACCTAGATGGGTGACTACTTGGGAATACCAAGTGCTGTCAGCTTGGATGTGCAGGTGGTATAATGGATAATGGCTTTGTTTTGTTGTATTCACTTACACACAAATTTGAGGAAAGGTAAGAGTCCACCTCTATTAGTTAGGATTTGTATGTTTGCTTAGTGGCATATCAACTCCTTATGGGTCATTTAATGCTGAAATTTAATGTTCTTGGAAGCATTTAGTAATTCAATTTCCAAAAATGTATTGCTAGAATTTTTTTTCTTTTTTTTTAAATGTGTTACTGGTATTTTTACTATGAAAATGTATTTTTATACTTTCATAGTTTTGACTCCCAGGTGGTGGGAGGTTAACTATTTGCCCAAAGTTGGGACCCTAACAGGTGCTACCACTCTTGTATCACTCTCATTCTCAAAAAAATAAATAAATAAAATCTTATCTAAAAATATTTTCTGGCTTTAAATAACCTGCAAAGGGTTGATAAGCTGTAAAAAAAAAAAAATCAATTCTTCTTTCCTCTGAGTTAATCATTATCACTTTTTAAAGAAACTTCATTTTTAACTGCCAAATGAAATTGAATGCAATTTGGGAGCTGGTAGTTGGATCCAAAAGTGAACTAATAAATAAGACTTTTACTAAATACAACGATTTTGTTGGCTCTTGCTTGAAAATTATTTGCTGCTATTAAATTGGTCCTATTTCTTCTCCTAGGAAAATGCAATGAATATATCAAATGTTGAATATTTTGAAGTTTAAAGTAAAAAATAAAATAATAATGTTCCTTAAAATTTTTCTTTGTTGCATCTTCTATATTTTCTTTTCTTTGTATTTCAGGTAAGCATTTTACAAGCATCAACATTTTCAATGTCAAGTAGGTAGTAAAATTATTGGAACCTTGACAACTTGTGCGTATGTATGCATTATTCTTCCTCTGTCTTTGTATATATGAATATACAGTGTGTGTATAACTATGTGCTGAAATATGTCTTAGCAAGTGTCATAGATAAACTGAAAAGAACAGTTCAAGTCAAAGGCTTGTATGTCATCATCTGAAAATTGATTTACCTAGCATTACTCTTAACATTTTCATTTGTTCATTACACATCTTTGAGGAGAATGGATATATTGGACGTATGGGGAAACTAGGGTTCATGCATTTGACAATTGTTGCAATAGAAAATGATAGGCACGGTGGAGTAATGGATAGTGGAGAGCCGAGTTCAAATTCCATTCAGATCCATTACATTCACTTACGTGCTAATACCCTTGGAAAAGGCATGAATCCTATTCTTCTCAAACCCCCCCCATTATGGGTAAATAGCAGGACAAACCATGCTTTATAGCCTTGGATGGCAACTGGTCTACCATAGAAAGAAATGGCAACCTACTGCAGGGGAAAAAATCTGCCTTGTCAGTTATGTATCAAAAAGTACATGATCATCTAAGTGTGTATCACGCATGGCACATAACTGACTGATCATAAGTTGAGATTCCAACATAAAGATACACCATACAGACTTGAGAAGCAAAATAAAACAGCAAGCACTATAGGACTCAAAATCTAACAAACTGTATGATATTCAACCAAGTCTAGGATCATGGCTTCCAGGTTTTCAGACAAATAACACGATAGGAAATAGTCTATTTCAGACACTGAATAGAACATACACAGCTGACACACATCTACTAAAAAATGAAACATTCCCCACATCATGTAACTGATGTTGAATACATCTCACAGCCTAACACATACTCATAAGTTTCCATCATTTCAGTCAAACCTGAACAAAATATTATCAAGCAAATAATAAAAAAAAAAAAAAAACGAAAGAACTTTCAAAACATTAGGCCAAACAATATTCTTAACTTAATGGGAATCAAACTTATACCAAAATATAAAATTATAAAAACTAACAAATCTACCTAAACTCTAATAAGCAACTTGTATGAGAAAGTGAATACAAAATAACTTTCATCTCTAAACCAGCGTTTCTAATAACTGAGTCAATAACTTTTTTTCTAATTGATCTGTACCCCAAATTATCGCTAATCCACATATAATATATCCAAAACTATTATTCAAAACCTTTATCTGGCCTCAAATAACCTGAATGGTTGAAGGGGCTATTAAGCAAAACCAAACCATAAGTTGAATCTATTCCATTCACTTCTTTCTACCAAATTGGCTATTTTCAGCTATTGACAATTTTTTTAATATTTTGTTTTAAATGTTTTTTCTTGTTTTGTTATTTATATAGAATGACAATGTGTGTGTGTGTGTGTAAATTTTAAGGAATAGTCATTTTCAAATCATTATTTAAAAAAAGAAATGTTGTATAATACTTTTCCTGTTTTTTTGTTTTTCTCTCTGTGTGTTAGTCCAAAATGTATACTCTTTGCTGATGAATAACTTCATTTCTAAATGTTCAAAATTAAACCAAATCTGCTTGTTAACAACAGTTCATGTCTTTGGATTTTATTTATTTTCCTCATTTCTAACATCACTTTAGGATAATTTTTTTTTTTTTTTTAAAGTTATTTCAGTGAATGTAATGAATCATTGCATTTAAATTTTAGGATTGGCCCCTGTCATTTGTAGAGAATTAAAAAAGAAATTGATGCTTAAGAAATGGAATCAGGTGACTTGGTTATTGAAAATAAAACTGTTTTCTATGATGAATTTTTTTTTCTGTTCTTTTACATTTTCTTAAAAACGCCATAGCTTTGTACTTCTTAGAGTTGATCAAAGGCCCATTCCACATAAAAAAAGAAAAAAAGTTTACTGTTGGTTTTTTACACTTCAATTTCTAGTCCTCCATCGGAGATAAGCATTTTCCTTTTTTCACCTTCATGAACACTTGTTTTCCTTAAGTAGTATAAAAGGTACATCATTTGATGTAGATATTTTATATATTCCAATATTATTTAAAAAAAAACAAAAACAAATTTCATTTCATTTTTTAAAATATCTAATTATCATGATTGTTTTAGCATTTTTTTGTATTATCACAGTCATATAGAGTAATTGAAAAATATATATATATATATATATATATATATATATATATATATATATATATATATATATATATATATATATATATATATATATTAGTTGAAAAAGGATCTGTGCTTCTAGTAGGATAATATTCTCTGACAATGCAAGGCTGCATACAAGACGACTAATGCAAGAAAAGATTTTGGAACTTGATTTGGTTTGTTCTACTCCCCCCATCAAAATTCACTTGCCCTTACCTTTTTTTAGTCACTGCAAAGCACTTTGATGGAGAAAACTTTCATCACTGGAATTTTACTCAAAACATGTCAAAGAAAGAGATGGAGTAATGGATAGCAGCTTGGATTGAGGAATAGGAGAGCAGAATTCAAATTGCAGTTGCATTTGTTACATTCACTTATGTACAGATACCTTTTAGGGACAGATGTGAATCCATCTTTTCTCTCCCCCTATGGTTAAATAGCAGGACAAACTGAGTTGTATAGGCTTGGATGACAACCAGTCTAAGAAGGACAATTCTGAATTTAAAACCTCTGACTATGAGTTAAATAGCCTCACCAACCTGCAACTAGTCAAGTGTGGAGAGTAGGGCTACATCCTTGAAGACATGGTCAATCATTGGTTCCTCCAACAGCAGTGAGAACCCCCTGGATTTGTATATTGCAGAACTACCTGTTAAGTGACAAGTCATTGGAAATAATGGTGAATGTCATTGAATAAAATGTAATTTTTATTTTTTATTTTTTTTTTTTTAAAGAATAGTGTTGATAATTAAAAATGGAAATTAAGTATGACTCTACCTAATAGGTTTACTGATTTCTCTTTTTTTATTTTTTATTTTTGTGTTCTTACAGATTAGAGGCAAAAAAAATAAATTAAAAACTGATGAGATTTACCTGACATTGACCTAGTAAAAGTAGCATTTCTGATAGAACAGTTGCAGATTACATTTGATGTTATATAGGATTGAATTAATAAAATAAAAAGTTTGAAAGGATATTGCTCCACTTCTTATATGTAAAGGTAGTCAATTATAGCAAAGATTAAATATTGATTTCTAGAAGGCTCTTACTTTATTTTATTTAGTCACTTCACTCCAAACGAGGTGATAATGCAAAGACCTGTCTTTATCCTATCAAAGTTTGTTTACGTGCTCAATATTGCAAACTCTGGAAAATGATTTATCGCTCCTTTTTACTAAAAATATTGATACTTTTTATGCAAGATTTTTGTTTTATTAGAAATCTGATAATGAAGATTCACGCAGTTTTTTGGTTTGTATATCCAATAGTTTCTGTTTGATGTCTTACTATAAGGAAATGCTGTCATGGAGTGGATGAATTATGGATTGTCATTTTCTTGTTAAAAATGGTGCAAGTGGGCATGAGGTTGGTTGTTTGTTTGGATAAGTGATATCAGACATTACTGTCTGGTTAATCAAAAGTGAAAAATTGTAGCCCCAGACATGAGTACATTGTTAGCATCAAATGTCATTTCCTGGAGATAAAAGAAAAAAGTGATACATCCAGCCCCACCATGGTAGGTTCTTAATACAAACAGCTGGATTTCTTTCTCCGTTGATCTCTTTATACATTTTGTGAATTAATATCAGGAAGAGATGGTTGTGATTTCTAGAGCTCATAATGAGGAAAGTGGGCTTGGGAAATTTGATACAAACATAAGATTGAAGACAAGATGGACAGAGGAAAACAATGTATAAAATACCTAGTGAGCTTGAGCAAATGGATGGTGGAACCAAGTTTAGGAGAGATAACAAAAAGACAAAATTTATAAAGAGCTGCAAAGGACAGGAAATTGTGAAGATCAACAATGTCTTGAAGGGACACAGTACATAGAAAATGGCATTCTTCTTTTATGTACTGTATCCCTTCAGGGTGTGGGTGATTATGGTTTGCCACAACTTCCTAATTCTTTAATACTTAATGTTTTTTTTTTTTTTTTTTAGTCTCCCTCCTGCTCCCTGTTCTACCCTCTATTTACACAAGGCTGTTAGTTTTTTGTTTTTTT